CAGAGAGGGCGGCCCCTCCCGTCGGGTTAGGACTCGGAGTCCCCGCGCCGCCCGCAAGCGCAGCAGCCCCTTCTACCTGTCCCTCTGAGGCAGTGGCTCTCAACCTTGGCGGCACATTAGAATCACCCGGGAATCTTTTTAAAATCCTGATTTCCGGGCCTCATTGAGATTCCCAGGTGATTCTAATGTGCCGCCAAGGGTGAGAACCACTGCTCTAAGGGCACTGCCTGGCCTCCCCCCGTACCCCGCACCTGGGCAGGGTTGCCATCCTGTGTCCTAGCCGTTACCTAACGCAACGGGACCGCGTGAAAACCGAGGCCAGTTCCCCCAACAGCCGGCAGCTGGGCGCGTGCTGGCGGCGGGAACACACCTGAAGTTACACCCGCGGGGAATGCGCCCTGGGGAGGGGGTCACCCTCGAGGTAACAGTGCTCCGAGGCCCAGGGCGGCTCTGGAGCTTCGTTGGGAGCTGGCGCTTTGCAGTGGGAAGGCGGGCAGCTGGCGGGGAAGGCTTTCCCGGCGCCGGTTGCTAATGAACACACATGGTGCGGGGGGCGGGGAGCCGCGGGAGAAACGGTAACGGGGCTCCTCCCTCACCGGCCGGAGGAGTACACCGCGCGCGGGAGGGGCCACGCGGAGGTCCAGGCAAACGCCCCCGAGAGAGGTAGGACGCGGCACGAGCCTCTCCTAGGGCTCCTGCGGGAGCACTTTGGGGTTCCCGGGCTGGGGCGGGCCTGCTCAGTTCAAAACCAACGAGCCTGGTCTTGGTAAGCTGATGGGGGTCCCCCCTAAGGGGGCGCAGGGCACGCGGCGCTCGCGGCAGGGAGACTGGGTCACGAGGGCTGCTGGGACCCGTCCAGCCACTGCCCTTTGCGGGGACTCTGCGGGGACTCGCGTCTCAGGCCCTGCAGGCCGCGGGGCGAGACCATGCATCCGAGGCAGTAAGTTTAGGGAGTAACTCAGCTCACTCTGCACAGACCCACCCTCAGCTGTGAATTTCCTCGTGTTTATCCCGCAGGCGCACCCTGTGCTGCCCACACCTGACCCCCGTCTCACGTCCCGTCTGAGCCATCATCTCTCTGAGTATCTGCTTTTCTCCCATGTTCTCTGCCTTGCCTGTGTCTCCCACGGGTTCCCATTTCCCATCTCTCTCTACGGAGTTGCTTAGCTCTGTCTTCCTGTTGGCTTTCTCTTCAGCTGAGTCTGATCTACCGTTTGACACGTTCCTCGAGTATTTTAAGGTTGAGTTTTAAAATTTCAGTGACTATATTTTTCACTTCTGTATGCTGCGTTTCATTCCCAAATAAGCCAATTATGTTTCTTTGTACCTTGCTTTCATATGGTTTTCAGTTTTTAATTCTCTTTTTAAAAAAAATATATTTTTTAAACATCTATTTTTCTTGTTTATTTATTTATTTAAATTTATTTCAGAGAGGAAAGGAGAGGGATCAAGAGATAGAAACATCAATGATGAGAGAGAATCATTGATTGGCTGCCTCCCACATGACCCCTCCAGGGATCGAGGCCACAACCCAGGCATGTGCCCTTGGCTGAAATTGAACCTTCAGTCTGCAGGCTGACGCTCTATCCACTGGGCAACACTGGCTAGGGCTAAAAAATATTTTTCTTGACTTTTTACAGAGAGGGAGGGAGAGGAATAGAGAGTTAGAAACATCGATCGAGCCCTTGACTGGAACCCGGGACCCTTCAGTCCGGGCGGTGCTCTATCCACTGAGCCAAACCAGTTAGGGCTGTTTTTAATTCTTTCTAAAGATAGTCATTTTAATAAAATTTCTGGGTTTTTCTATTACCTAAAATACTTGGAGTTCTTATTTTGTTAAAGTGTCTGTTGACTTTCCTGGTGGCTTGGTTTCTCATGGTTTGTAATTTTGCATTACCAACTCATTTTGGGTTTGTATTTAAGAATCCTGACAAATATGGGCTGAATGTGTCTTCCTCCAAAAATATTTTGTTTGCTTCTGTAAATTGTTTTTTAAAGGCCAGGACAAACTTGTTTCAATTGTTCAGTTTTTCAACTGGGACATGAATAGGCAAATTGGAGATTCTCACTCATGTGAGTTGCTGGTCAAGGCTTACAAATCAGCAGGTTAATAAACTCTTTCCCACCAGAATCCAGGGGGAGACAGGCAAGCTTCCTGTGCAAATGGGCAGATTGCCTCTAGTCTGCCCCCCCTCCTTATGTGCATGGATTTTTGAAATTTCTGAATTTGAGTTATTTCAGTGCCAATTCTCTGTCTTGTGTGTCCAAGGCTGTGTTTTACATCCTCCGTTAGTCTTTAATGCCCACTTTTTTTGGTAAAAAAAACCCCACAGGCAGCTGCAGCATCAACTCACAACTTAATTGTGGCTTTCAGTTCCCTCTGCCTAGCTGGCACCTGGACCTTCACTTATTTCCTTGCAGCTGGATTATGCCTGGGAAAGAAAGTTATCTGTTATTGTTCACTAGGGGCCTGGTGCACCAATTCGTGCACCAGTGGGGTCCCTCAGACTGGCCCACACCCTCTTGCAATCCGGGACCCCTCGGGGGATGTCAGACTGCTGGTTTCGACCCCATCCCCACAGGCCAGGCCTAGGGACCCCACTGGTCCATGAATCTGTGCACTGAGCCTCTAGTATGCATATAAAATGCTTGGTTAATCTCTTCCCACCCTCCCCGTCCCCCCTTCCCTCTGAGATTCACCAGTCTGTTCCATGTTTCCATGCCTGTGCATTGAGCATCTTCCCCCTGGTGGTCAGTGCATGTCATAGCTACCAGTTGAAGGGTGGAGTGCTCACTTAGGCTTTTATATATATAGACTAGAGGCCTGGTGCACAAAATCGTGCACAGGTGGGGTCCCTAGGGCTGGCTGGTGATCAGGGCCAATCAGGTTCCCTCCCTCCCCGCCTCCCCACCTCCTCCCTCCCTCACCACCCATGCACCACCACCACACGGTACCCCACCTCCCCCCCCAATCTGTGTCCTTCCCTCACCATCCACGTCCACCGCCACCCACCCCGATCGGGTGATTGGGAACTGCCGGCCAGGGGGAGGGACTGGGAGGTTGACTGGCAGGCCCCAATCAGGCAATCGGGGCCTGCTGGCCATGGGGAGGGGCCACCTGTCACTGGCAGGCAAGCAGTGGGCCAATCGGGGCCTGCCAGCTCGGGGGAGAGATGGGGGGAGGGACCAGGGAAGATGACCGCCGGCCCCAAGGAGGGAACTAGCCATTGGACCCCTGGGAAAGGGGCCACATCTGCCACCACCCACCCCCATTTCCCTGTTCCAGCCCAGCGGGTCTGGCCCCAATCGGGCGATCGGGGCCTGCTGACCAGAGGGAAGGACCGGGAGGTTGGCCAGCAGGCCCTATCGGCACCCACGTCTGCCGCCACCCACCCCTGGTTCCCTGTCCTGGCCCAGGGCCCGGCCCCAATCAGGTGATCAGGACCAGCCAGCCGGGAGGGAGGGATGGGGGAGGGACCTGGGAGGTTGGCCTACCAGGTGATTGGGGCCTGCTGGCCAGGGGGAGGGGCCAGGAGGTTGTCTGGCAGGCCCCATCGGCGATTGGGGCCTGCGGGCTGAGGGCAGCTCCTGCGCTGAGCGTCTTCCCCCTGGTGGTCAGTGTGCATCATAGTGACCAGTCGTTTGGTTGTTCCGTTGTAATGGTTGCTTAGGCTTTTATATATGTAGATTATTTCTAGTGGTCTCCAGTCAAATAGTTTTCACGTTAGGCAGTCCACCAGCTTGCCAGAGAAAGGAATCCTAAGCTTATACATTTTATACAAACAAAAGTTACAAACTAGTTGATTGAGCAATGTCAGATGTCATGAAAGTGTTGGTTTCCAGATCCAGGGGGTTCTGTAATACTTGCCAGTAAACAAACAAACAAAAAACCCCAAAGGGTATGTGATATGGTGTGTGGCCATCTGGTTTAATAGTAAATTCAGGTTGTTCCCATTATAATGTATAATGTTCCAAAGACAAATAGGATTTAGTGTGGAAAGTCTTGACAGATGTCATTCTAGATATTATGGTGTATATGTCTACAAGGTCACCGTTATGTTCAATGACCAATGTAGTTCGTAAATAAATAAAATTCTTTTTTTTTTAGTTCCACAGGCACAGAACCCTTGTAAAGCCATGGGATTGTCCTGGTACCTCTTAGATCTGTTGCTTAATGGTTTAATTTATTCACATACATCAAAGCTCAATAGTCACAGTTAATGTAGCTATAGATGCATGTTGTAATTAAGTATGTTCTATATAAACTAGAAGCCCGGTGCACGAATTTGTGCACAGCCAGGGGGAGGGGCCATGGGCAGTTGGCTGGCCAGCCTCGCCCCCTGGTTGAACTCCTGGTGGAGGGGACAATTTGCATATTAGCCTTTTATTATAGGATATATGCCTCTCTAGAGCATCATCACCATCCTGGCATTCGTTTTAAGAGCACAGGCTTGCCCTGGCTGGTTTGGCTCAGTGGATAGAGTGTTGGCCTAGGGACTGGAGGGTCCCAGGTTCAATTCAGGGGCATGTGCCTTGGTTGCGGGCATATCCCCAGTGGGGGGTGTGCAGGAGGCGGCTGATTGGTGAGGCGGCTGGGTGTTTCTTTCTCATCGATGTTTCTAGCTCTCTGTCCCTCTCCCTTCCTTTCTGTAAAAAATCAATAAAATATATATTTTTTAAAAAAAGAGCACAGGCTTTCCCCAGTTCTCTAAAGTGGTACCTGTCGCCTTGGGGTGAACCTCTGTGCACAGTGACACTGGGCTTCTCGCTGGAGGGTTTCCCACCGGCAGCATGTCCACAGCTGTGTTGGGACTTCTTCTTTTTTTTAAGATTTACTACTACAATATTTTATAACAATAGAAGGTAGCTGGAAATCCTACATGGTAACACAGACAATATGATACACAACCGACGGGGAGGAGGCAAGAGAGAGCGTGGCAGAGGCCACCGGTTTAGACTAAGAGCCTTTCAATGGACTGCTGAATGGACTGGATCTGCTGCTTCAGCTGGGAGCCTTCTTTGATGGTGACAGAACAGGCGATGACAGGCCTGGAGACCCCGCAGGCCCGCCCCAGCGCCTGCTTGGAGCGCACAAACACGTAGGGCACATTCTTGTCTTCACACAGCAGCGGGAGGTGCAGGATGATCTCCAGGGGCTCTGCGTCTGCAGCCATCACAATGAACTCAGAGATGCCTCTGTTAAGGGTTTTGGTGGCTGTGGAGAGAAGGACATGCGGCCAATAGGTGATGGGGGGTTTGGGCAGGGAAGCTACAACAAAGCAATTTCCAAGGAAAAGAAACACATGCAAGAAAACTGGGCAAAACTCTCACACATAAGCAAGTCTCTGCGGGCTCGCCTCCCCTCAAGACGCGCCGCCGACGGACGTCAGAGAAGGAGCCTGTGTTGGGACTTCTTGATAAAAACCTCACGCCACCCGTCCAGTTCCTCCTGGGTGTGGATTCTGTGATGTCCAATGAGGTTTGCCCTCTGGGAGAGGGGTTTCCCGCGGTCTGAGCATCCACAGGGCGTCTTTCCTGCTAAGTTCGCCACAGCTTGTCAGCAGTGACTTTTCTTAGGAACTGTCCTGGCTTAGGACGCGGGCCTGGCCTGGCTCTGCCACTTACCAAACAGGGGAGGAGACCTGGTGCCTCTCCTGAGCCCTCCCCCTCCTCTCCTCGTCCTCCCCGGGAACAGACACGAAGGTCCAGGAGCAAACTTACTGCGGCTGGAGCATCAGCTGGACCCCACCCACCTCCCTCCTGCCCAGGCACCAGGCACGTTCCTACGCGGACGGACGGGGCACGCTGGCGCTGGACCCCCAAGCAGTCTGCGGAGACACTACCAGTAACAGGCTAGGATTATGGAGACGCCACAAGGAGTCCTGGGGGTGTGTTTGAAAAACCAGAGACTACCTAAGTGCTGACAAATAAACGCCTGCTTGGTAAGTTATGATACAGTTAAAGCATGCCGAGCTCTGCATCGACTTAAAATATAGAAGAAATAGCTGACGTGGAAAGACCTTCCAGCAAAACCAGAGACTGGAAAAAGCAGGTGCGCGCATGTGGCTCACAGGCGAGGAACAGGTGGGGTGCCTGAGAGTTTCAGCCAAACCCCAAGCAGCCCAAATTCTGAGGAGCAGCTGCTAGACACGCCCCAGCAGACCTCTCCCTTTGGGAGGGAAGTGGTTGGAGCGCCATCTACTGGAGGAGAGTTGAATGGGTGGTTCTCTCCGCACCAGCCGAGAGAGGTGGGTCCAGGGAACTGTGTGGAGACTGGATGGAGCTGAGAAAGTGGGGTGACCGCACCCCAGGCCGATGTGTGTCCAGCTGCAGAAACTCAGGCGCACAGTTCACAGGAGGGAAACACGAGGCCGCGCCTGTGACAGTTCAGGGCGCGGGGAACCCAGAGCAGGTGCCAGCTGCCCAGCTGAGGAACTTGGAGGTTAGAGGCTGGCCCAGGCCCCCACGGCGGCCGGGTGAGGAGGGGGCAGGAGCGAGAGCACCCGCAGTGTCTGCATTTCCTGGAACGGGGGTGTGGGGGAGGCGAGGGGGCTTGATTTCATTGCAGGACACTGACCGTGCAGGCTGCCAGCTGGGTGAGGAATGCCGCCCTGAGGGGGGAACCATTGGGCCAGGAGCCGGGGG